TGAGAGAGAAGGATCAGAAGGGAAGGTTAAATCTTGCACTCCTAGGAGGAGCAGTGTTTATTTTACACTGCACAAATGTGACTGCCACTAAAGTGACTGTGTGATTTACTGTTGACTCCAAACATGAAAAACAACTTTGCACTATTGTGATAACAAGGGATAGGACTTCATTGTAACAGATACTGATTGTGCAGGTGAGGCAGCGTGGGGAGATCCTGTTCCACATAGCTAACAGCCTGAACACATTAACTAGAGAAGAGCCATTGTACATCTTTTACAGAAGGGAATCACAGCCTTTCCACCTACAGATATTCTTCACCTAGATTTCAGGCCCTGGCACTTTTGTTTTAGACTGATTTGATAGCTATGTGTGTAGGCAGCGATTAGCCTGATCATGTCAGTGCCTTGAAAACATCCACAAGGCAATGGTCTGCTTTTTTGTCTCTGGTAACTGAGACAAAGTTACTGGAGCTGGCTGAAAATGATTTGCTCACGGTTGCAGAGAATCCATGGCAGAATCAGAAACCAAAGTCAGACCTTTAGTGTTCCCACCCAACATCTTGTGTGGGAAACATCCTCCCTGCCCATGCTGTTGTCTTATTACAGTGATGTTGACTCACTGAACAACAGAGATCCCATTGAGACTTCACATGATGCAAAGCACAGTGTCATTTCCACCCGAGATAACAGAACCCAAGCAATGGAATATATGTGAATGAGTGAGTAGGAGGCTTGTGTCCTTGATGAACACATTGTTTCAATAAGAGTACACTGCTCTGAAATCTAAACCATCTGCATTTAACAGTTATCTTGCAAGGTTTTCTGTGTAAAGGCTGTTCACAGTGAATTGCTCAATGGTGCAACAGCTAGGGCTGTTGGGAGCTTTTCCAGTGCAAATAAGTTTGGGCCATGTGCTAACTCCTAAATGGAAATATCAGTGTGGAAAAAAATGATAAGCATTTCTAGTAGGCAAGAACATATAAAATATGTTCAAAAAAATTGATTTTGTGTAGTAAATATTAAAAAAAAAATCTTCATCTATTCAGATAAAAACAGTTTATAGTAATTCTTGCCCACTTTTTAAACAAGTCTACTTTCTAGACAATCCTTGAGAAAGTAAAAATTGAGTAGAAGAGAATATACATCATCTTTCTGCCAGATTTCTTGTTTTAATCCTAAGCACCATAGTATCAGAGACTTGCTGACAATTTCTGTCTATTCTAGTCTTACTATGCAAGTTCCAGAACTATTATTTTGATATTTATATGTGCATAGATAATTGCATGAATTTTAAAATTTTATTTCAGAATATAAGTGTCTGTTGGCATTAGCCTCAGCTATACATTATCTTCATGGAAGAAGGTACTATCAAAAGAAGATTGCATGCAGTTTTTGATCCAGAGCATAGATGTATTGCTCTTACTGCTGGTCTCTACTAACCAGCCATGCTGACATATTTTGTCATCAATGAACAGAAACTGAAACGTATACATACTTCAGATTTTTTGTTTAAATCTTTGAGATTTCTGAGTGTGATTCTCTTTGACGAGAATAAAGTTAGTGAAGATAATGTCTGCATCCATATTTTCTGAAACTCTTCTCTATTCTGTTGTTCTTATAGTTACTTCTGAGATCAAGTGAGGGGAGCTCACACTGGTTTACAAGATAATTGAATAAAAATCAATAGACAAATGTTATTCTGGAACTTAACCCATGATTTAAAGGGGACATGATTAGGGAATCTGATCATTTAATTGTGAAAAATTGTTTTATGTTTGTGCACATTTGCCTTTCAGGGAGAGTGGAATCAGTCCTTCTCTCTTATTCTCTCTCTGAAGAGGATGACCAAACTTTTCTTTCTGGAAGTGGGCAAGATCTGCTCTCTGTTAATGCTTCTGCAAGGGCTAAAATATTACAATATCATTTAGATATCAATGACATTAGGTCACTGAGAAAGACAAGTTTCTGACAAGGACTTACTTTTCATTAAAAAGATCTTTGTGATCTACTGTAGAAAAATCTCGATCCCAGACAGTGTATTTTATGTATAAAACCCTCCTTTATGAGAATTAGTTGATAACCTTTCTGACCTCAAAGCTGTTGAAGGAACTTTAGGCAGGATTGCTTTTCCATGCAGATTGGTAAATGGTTCCTATAATCAGCATTAGCTCATGCGATCTTTAGAGAATAGAAGATTACTCTTTCTGTCACTGTAATTGATTATTTTCTAGCTTCGGACGTTATTTTTCTTTTGCTTTTCTCACATAGGCCTACTAGTAGTGTAGTAAGTCTTGGCCATTAGGAAAAACAGGCAGTTATTCTGATACTGCTTTTACCTGGTACTCTTGAAGTCATTAAGCCAATGGAGGAATATTCACACATTACAATACAATACAATTTGGTTTAATATACTTTGAAAATTCAGAAACTAACTCCAATGAGCTTGCATTCAAAATAGCATAAACCAGATGATGTTTTATCACAGAATATCCACTTTCCCATTGCTTTCTGGAAGAAGCTATCTCTCCTTTTTAAGGACCAGGTATAGCATTTGACTTTGACATCCCAACAGGATAGTGACAAGCTTAAAAAAATTAATTTGCCCTCTGAAGAGTGAAGAGGCTTTCCACCTTATCCTCTGCTTACGTCCAGAATGGTTCTGAGGTCTTTTCAGTTACCAATAATCTGGTATTTTATAAATGGGCTCATAAGAAATGCAGTCATCTCACTTATTTTATCACCACTAAGATATAATGCAAAGAAACCAAAATACACCAGGAAGCTATTGAAGATCTTGCCACGCTCTAACACCTGCAGTACTCATTGCATGCAGCCTCTTTGTCTGAATGTTATTCTCTGAGACCAGCATGTCTTCAGAGCAGCCTGTAAAATGGCTTTTCATATTGCCAGTACCATGTTACAATCTAGTATAATTAAACTGTATTTATGTGGGCACAAACCATTCTTTCTGCTTGCTTGACTTTTTCTCTGCATGCCTTTCCATGCATCCATTTGATTCATAACTTATACAGTTCATCCCTCCTTGCTGAGCAAATCAGATCCTAACGTGAGTGACATCTAATCATATTTGCTATTTAGTTTCCAATGCCTGTTATAGCCTTCAAGGGAAATATAATACTGTCTTATTAAACCTTATCATGCAATTTTAATAACCACTTTTTTTTTTTTTTTTTTTTTTTGCTAGAACAGAAACAGGATGATAAGACCTTTGCTGTGTTTAAATCAGTGTTTTAGTGACCACAAAAGACACTATCTGCTCAACAATCACTAATTAGCTCACATATCTCACTCCATACAAGAGAAGCCAGCTGTACATGATAAATGGGAACTGTATAACTGCTTAACAATAAACTCTGAATAGAATCTGCAGAGATACATCTAGAATTTCTGGCAATTCAGGATCCTTAAGCTATGAGATCAGCATCACCCAAAATAGGTGATATAGAATTATGCAAGCACCTTCACTGATTACAGTCATTTGCTAACTTTCAGTATCATTGTAATTCTTTTAAAAATGTACCAGAAATTATATGTCATAGAAACATCAAGATTGGAAAAGACCTGTAAGGTTACCCAATCCAAACATGAATCAATCACCACAGGACTCACAAACCATGTCCCTCAACGAGTAGCACTGCTACCTCATTTTGCTTGAAGTCAAGAAGTACAAGATTGAAAGGTTCCCATTCAGATTAAATAAGGACGGGTGGGAAGTTTGTCCTCTGAGGTCATTTTCTTGTCTTGTACTGATTCTGCTTACAGCCCCACCACTTCCTCCCCAAAGCAGGAGCTGGATGTCATATAGGTGAGATCAGTGAGAGTAGAAAGAGCCAGTGCTGTCTTCTGTGAGCCTTCCCACAACTGAGTCTCTGCTGGGAAATATTTCAAAGCTTCCTTGATTCTAAAAGTCAAGTGCTCTTCAGTACTAGGGTGACTCTTGTCTTTTCCTTATATTTTGAAGAAGTTTGTAGGGAAAACTTAAAATCCATAGAACTCTGTGTGGAGAGTACTGTATTAATAAGTATCACTTATGTGTGTTGGTGAATCACCATGTTGTAGACTGACTATGGCAACTCTAAGAAATTTGGAGGAGGTGTTTTGGAGGAGGTGACAATAGTTCTTGTACATGTCCTGAAGCCACCACATCTTCCCTTTCAGCTTGTTCCTAAGATATTTCTGGATTCAGTTGTATGTTCTGATGTGCTGCCAATACTTACCTTGTACCTCAATATACAGGTACTGTTCCACCTTCTCAAGAACTAATGAGTTTGGCTATAAAAGAATTTCATTATCATGACCCAGAACTGGGGAAATGGTAAAATATACTTAGGAAGCTACACATAATTTATAATTTTCACTTTCATGCTCTGCCTTAAAGGAGAACCTTCCTTTTGAGATTCATAATACAAACTGTTTTATTGGAAATGTGAGGACAGTTCAGCTGAAACATGTATTTTTAGAATATTTATGGATCAAGATATCCCAGTGATGAAATCTTATGAGATAGTGCATAACCTCATGAAGCAATTTGCTTCTTTAGAAGTAATGATTGAAGTATTTTCTGAATGTTGTATTATTCAGTGATTCATCAAACAGTCTGTAAAACAATCAATTTAAAGTGGTGAACTGACTCTTCCATTTTCTGGAATGCTTGCTCACTTAAGAAGTTATAAACATCCATAATTACCCAAGCAAAACCCATGGGAAGTCTTGTGCCTTAGCTTGAGATTTTATCACATTTAGGGCTTAGCAGTTCATGTTTCTCAAAGACCAGATAAAGTTGCAACTAAAACACAGCCTTTGTGTCTGTAAAACACAGCCTTGTGTCTGTAAATCAATGTTTCTCCTCTGGGAAAATGAGGAAAACTGGGTGCCAGAAATATAGCATATGACAAAGAGCAGGGAGCAATAACACAAGCCAGAACAGTAATGAACAGAGGAAGGATTATGCTGGCCATAAGCAGATGCTCTACACTTACCTCTTTTATCAGATTCATAAATCTGGGTCCAAAACGCCATGGCTTGTGTCTATGACACTGCAGGGAGCTGACAGTCATTTGAGAGGCACGCTGGGAGGCCACTGCTACCATGTAAACTGCGTCGTACATCAGAGCTGCCTCAGTCTACATGAAAAAAATAATAACACAGAAAGGCTTTTTTTAAATATGCCTCCTTTTACCTGGCTTCAATACTGAGAAGCAATACTCTGGGTTGGTGATAAAGAAGAATTCACTGTTTCCTTCATTGGCTCTCCTTGGAAATCTGTTGCTAATGCTGATGGGTTTGTTTTCTTTTGTTTTCAGTGTAAATTACTTTCATATAATTTTCAGGTGGACACTGGGAAGAAAATGCAGGAAGGAGTTTGCTTGCAACAGCATGGTGAGGAGTGTTAATGAGCAACACAGATCCTGTCTTTCCAGGGAAATCAGTCCCACTGAGCACCAGAGAAGTATCTTAAAGATATTTGCTGTTTCTAAGTATCTGACTGCCTTCAGATATCTTGGCTGTTGACATTAATGGGTATAATGGCTCCACTGAATTCTGGCTATAGCAATTCCCTTGCCATACCTCCCATGCCACCTTAGAGGAAGGTGATTTGTCTTTTTGAGGTACCTTAGTGACAAAGGTGAATTTCTACATCTAAACTCTATTGTCTAAGTAAGACAGGCAATACCTCTATGATGCTGAAATCTTATTAAAATTGCTGGATGCTTGTTGTGCATCAGTATTTCTTCTGAGAATTGACTTACTGGTTAAAAACCATACCCAGTAAGCCCCAGATTGATATTGCACAGTCTATAAACCTTTATCAGTGAATTTTTTTAAGAAAAATCTTACCTTCTCCCGCATTGTACTTTGTTGATTTGGTGCTTGAGATAGGACTGTCTGTGTTTCCCATAACACATAGGGTTGTGGTAAAAATGAAGTGCTTATATTTCTTCAAAAGCTACTGAATAATTAAGTAGGGGCCTTTAAAAAGGCAGTAACTGTAGATGAGAAAAGCTGGACATGCTTATATGAACTGCAAAGTTACAGCATTTTTTATTCCTTTCCTATGCTACTCCCTTGGGAAATTAATAGATTTGATTCTTTGTTTCATTTACCTAAGTACATTACAACAGCATCACTCTTACCAGCATTTGATTTCCAGCAAAAACCTCCATTGTGATCTGAATTTATCAATTAATCTTAATGTACTAGTCAGGATCTGCACAAAACCATGCTCTCACAACTCAAGCAAATTAAAAATGTTATAAGTGGCGAGGCAAGCAGGAAGAGACAACAACATCTGTTCTCAGTGTCAAGAGTCTTAAAGAAAATACTTGTTCCAAACAGACCCACTGACTAAAGGCCTGATCCCAAACCCCTCTAACTCAGTGGAAAGATTCATATTAATCTCAAGTCAATGGGCTTGAGTACAGGTCTTTTTATTAGACAAGAGACGTGCATTCAGGATTGAATTTTTTCACTGGTGTTGATGTCCCTGTTGGTCTATGTCCAAAGCTTAGAGGATCTAGAAGTACTTAGTGAAAATGTTTCAGTGCACACCTTGCTTTGCATTCCTAATTGGGACCACCAAGCCTGTTACTTAACATTATGCCTCCCTCATGGCTAGTATGTTGGGTAGTACTGCCCAACCTGGCAGTTTGGATCTTGTGTTTGTGCAACTTACTACTCATCCACCCCACCTTGCAGTAACTGGGAGGTTACACTGCTTCTTCTTGTCATTTGTTTCTCCTTGTCCTTCTTTTATGTTTTAGTGCTTGGGGTAGCATTGAGAAACAAAGAGTCATCTCATTTTCTGAAGAAAAGCGCCTAAATGTTGATATCTATTCTTATGCACAGGAAGAAGAGGTCCAAGAACTAGTCTTGGAATTTGTCTTTCTGATTTTGATTCTGTTTAAATTACTGCAAAGAAACTCAAAGATCTACTTAGAACAAATACATCTCTGTGTGCCATTTGGGCATAAAATGGGATGTGAGCTCAAAACTGCCTTGGTTATGCTCTGCTCATCTCCCACAATCTGTGATCATGGCAGAAATTATAGCATGAAAGGAGAAATCCTGAATTAACAATAGGATATATAATCCTCACCTCCTTGTAATGTGCAGCTTGTCATAGCCTTATTGTCTAACGAAACATAGCAGTACTGCAGCTCTCTATCAAACTGAATAAGCAAAACTTATTATGAATACTTAAGCACTCACAGCTTATTATGAATACTTAAACACTCACAGATAGCTAAGAAGGTGCTTTTCCTGGTGTTCATGCTGTCCCAGAGTATGAAGGACACTAAGATGTTAGAGAGATGCAAAGGAGGGGATGAGAGATCAGTAAGAACTTAGGTTTTCCTAAAATCCTAGTTTCTCTCCTGCTTCTGGGAACACAGTTACACTGCTGAAACAAGATATATATATTTATAAATATATATATAAATGCTAGTGGTAGCACACATAATGAATTTTTCTTCAGGGGTTAGAATGCTTCAGAATTTTCCCTGCAATCATCTGCAATAAAACCTACTTTGTATCACCTCTACTACCTCTATCCAAGACAAGACATATTATCTTACCGCAAAAAAATGGCAGCCCTCTACCCTGCAAAACTGAATGGAGTCATATGGTCTGTGTGATTGCTCCTATTCTTTCCTTTCATTCTTAAGGAAGTGGTAGGGAAAAAAAATCCTAATTTCCTGACTTGATGATACCTTTCATTTATCTTTAAATTATATCTTAAAAGCCAGAGTTGCTGTAGATAACAGAAATGAAGGGAAAGGGCTCTTTTCCAATTTAGAAGTGCTATTACCTGTCCACATGTACAATATCTTTCCTGCAGGTCATAAATCCTATATCTGCTCTGAAAGTTTTTATTTCCTGTTGCGATTTTCACTCCATCCAGAACATTAATGGAGAAGAGAGACAGTAGTATATACATTTGTAACAAAAAGATGGATGGTGTAGGCTGGATGGTAGCACAACAGAGAGCCGTTACTCTTCTCCAGAGGGTGCTATAGATGCCTTTGCATCATTGCAGTTGCTCACTTACTGTCATCATGCCATCAAGGAGGCCAGTCTCTGGTTTTGGTGGTGCCTGCAGACGCTCCATTGACCATTTCTCAACGACTGATGAGACCTGAGGATTCTCGATGTTGAGTAGGCGAAAGCCTGTCATATTGACTCCGCTGTATCTGTAAGGTTCCAGATCCAATGCAAACAGATCCTAAATCAACATTAAGGAAACAGTCAAAATCAGATGTAATGTTTTTAAAGCATAATATTCAGAAAATACAATTAGACAAGAATTGTATTTGATTTTTAATCCAAAGCTCTTGTTCTGCTTTTTTTGAACCCCTGAGAACTCTCCTTGCCCTCAAAACTTATCCATAACCATTTCAGTTGTAAATCTGAATAAAGAATGGTTGTGTGAAGTTTATGACAAACTACATAGCTGCTTTGTTGGAATATGTAAATCAGGTCCCCACAACAATGTTATTTTGCAACCAAACCACAACAACAGTATCTAATTTTAGCCCTCTAACAGTGCTACAGTGCTGACAAGCCAACATGAAGAATTAGTTGGTCAAAGCTGAGCTTATTTCTGAACTCTGGGAAGGAAAACTCCACGAGACATCGAGAGCAATACACTTTTTCTGCTTATGAACCCCATTTTTCCTCTGTCTTACCTGCTTCAGTGACTTGCTGCCAGCGTGCCTAATGGCCACACTGGGCCAATGCACAGTAACTACATGCACTGCAGTGCTCATTGTTTACAGGGCAGGGAAATAATAGACATTCTAAATGGCGTAACTGTGCGGCAAATACCACAGATTTATCAAGCAGTGGTAAGACGATAACTGCTTTTCAAAGCCTGAAGGGCTGTTTTTGTTTTGTTTTTTTTATTTTTCCCCCCAAAAAGTCCTTTTTGCTGATCTTGGAAAGCTGGTAAAATGACAAATATGTGGATTTTAATACAACAGTAGCTGTGAAAATATCAACATTTATACCACAACACCTAGATAACACCAACAATGTTTACTGTTTGTTTGTTTTTAATGTACTTAATGCTTTGTACTATCCCATGCATACTGTTGTACTTGGTTACTATTTTATGATAGATTCACAGCTACTGTATAAAACAATATGATCTACGGTAAACTCTAAATTTTCATATTTTCCTAGGTGTTAAAATGGGCTCAAGGAGAACTATTTCAGGCTACTGGAATTTTCAATTCCACACAGCTAGAGTCTTTTCTGACTAATCAATTGACTCTTGGATTCAGAATGAATTTTCACTTCCACGTGAAATGTTATATGGAAAGGAAATTAAAGATATGCTGATGCACAGAACTGACACGATCCAACTTTCTATGACTGTTCTAGCAATACAGGCACTTGTCTGTCTTCCTACAATGCAAGTCTACAATGCAAATAGATCTTCAGCATTGACTCAGTTGTATGTGGTATGCATATTAAAATATAGGAATGTATCTTGAAATAAGTAATTAACATTTGGACTATAAAAGAAAATGTAGCATTTTTCTTTTATTATCAAACAACCCAAGAGAAATTTAGAAAAATGTGACTTTCTTTTTTGTGATACTTTTGTGATAATGAGATAATTAATAGGAATTAAACAATAACTCCTTGTCTGACACTTGCTAAAACAAAACGCACATCTTCACCTCTGAATTATTCTTTTTTTTGTAACACTGTACCCAAAAAAAACCAGCTTGGAGCAACAGGGTCAGTGCAGTTGAGCTTGGTGGTCTTCAACTAGCTAAAAATTAGGTGCTGCTGAAGAATAAGCTCACACAGTATGCTGGATGAGGGCTGTACCCCATTGCCTGCAGAATGCTTGGTTTCAGCTTTGCTGCAAAGCCATCCATTGTCTATTTCATACTTTATTCAAAGCCATTCATTCAATATTTTCTACTCTGTTCCTTCTGTACCAATGACTGTGCCTTATATGTCATATTGAAGTTGATTTCCATTATATTACGGTGTTGGTTAGCCCGACTGATCCTGCAAAACTTGTAACTCTTGATACAGTAAAGACTGTTAGTACTCATTCTCCAGGAAATTCCTTGAGTTAACTGCAGCACAAATCACAGAGAGGAATGGAAACTTTCTAGCTGACTTTTTTTGCAACGGAAAAAAAGTCACGCCCAGATCTTCAGTGTTTCTTACCAGTGTTGTAAAAAAGTAGTGATAGTATTCAGTCATCATTCCCATGGAGAGAATCTGTGGAAAGAGATTAAAAGTAGAGTATATTTTACACTGGACACTTTCAGTATACTAAAAAGCATGGTAACCCATGCACCTGGAATGATACCAGGTGAAATTCTTTAGTTTGCAGTTTAGAAATGCTAATAGGAATTTTATTTACAGACAGTTTATAGTAGTGGGGCCAGATGCAAACCTCTAGAGGGATGTGGTTTTCCTTCAGCCCCTGTCCAAAAACTGCTGAAAATGCTTACATGAGGCCACCCCCACAGTGTGTTATGGGATGCTCTGCAGTTCCAGTCTGGCATCACCTACGCTTATTGCCACATCCATGCACACTGCTACTGTGATTCAAACATATTGCCCTCTTTGAGACTGTGTGAAGTGGAGGAAAAGCTGTGAGGTAGAAAACCAGTGGAAAATTCATCATCGCAACAGAAATACAGGGAAAGGTTGAATGTTATTCAGTCTGGATCACAGTAAAGTAAGCGTATGCTATTAATAGTATTTTAGAACGCTTTGGCAGTGTCTGGATAGTTACTTGAAAGACAGGGGAAAATGATCTGATCTGACTTGCCAAAATTTTTTCATAGTAAAAGCCTGTTTGATTGTGTGTGGAAATACCTCATATAAAGAAAGGGAAGAACCTAAACTTTCCAAGCTGCAGAAGATAATAAAAACAGCTCAGTGTTAATCACAAACAACCAACCCATTTCCAGACACTAAAAATCAAGCCAGAAGGCAAGCATTTTACTGAAACACTCCATTGAATTTACATGTCAAAATTGCCTTTTTTATTTCTTATTTTATTAAGCCTCTTGTATGGCTTTTCTTAGAGTTGTTTTATTACCTGGGAAAGTCAGCAGACTAGCAACCCTGGAGACAGATGTTCCTTCCCTTTTTATGTACATAAAATTATATATGGTGATATCACTGAATACCTTTGCATGCTGTGTTTCCCAGCTGATTTGTAGAATCAGAGAATGGCTTAGGTTGAAAGGGTCCTCAAAGAATACTGAGCTCCAGCCCCTTGCTGTTGGCAGAGACATGGCTGGACTGAATTCTGCTCCCTGAACCAGCTCTGCTTCTGTAACTGTGGTTTCTGCTACTGAAGGAGGTGCCAGGCAGGACTCATGTAATATGGGTTTCTTTTTAGTTGAAAGTGTACTGAAATAATCCAAGGTTTTTATATGAGACATAGAGCAACTTCTAGGTAATAATGATTCTAATGTGGCTTGAACACAGGTATTACTCTGGATGTCTAGATTTACTTGGTCCTGACTCACAGTTGGTTTATGGTGCTACATAATTATGACAGTAAGATTATACCAACAAATGCAGAGGACGTTTACAAATACCCAGATTTAAATTGTCTGTTCATTAAAGTTTTAATTCTTAGCTTGATATATAAAGTCTGATATTGCATTTCTGTAATAGAAGGTATATACTCAAATCTTCCCGTATAGAAAAAGTAAGACGATAGAGGATCAGGACAACGCTAAGCTATCACATCTTTAAACACAACTTCCACTAGAAAAATATATTAGCTTGAATGATTACCAAGTGTATAGCCAGGTGTTTGGGAAGAATTACTCAGTTCGTGCAGCTGCAGATACACAGCTCCTGGGTATACAGTTTGTTAATCCAGGGTAGCCAAATTATTATATTTTCTTCACACATCCAAAGGCCCGAGAGACAGGTGTGTTTGCCTCCTCAACACATTTTAGATTAAAACTTTTTTTTTTTTTTTATATTGATTCCCAAATAAAGCACTATAAACTGAGGTGGCAGAGCACGCACATGGCTGTGAATAATAATGATTTCAAAAGTCATACTACAGAACTACATCTGACAACAAAGCAGAACCCCTGACAAACAAGGACAATTACAAGTAAAAAATGGGATTTGATCAACAGTGTTACCTGTCGTGCATGACACACAGGTTCACAATGGATGTGTTCAAGAGCCATGTGGATGTGACACTGAGAGACATGGTTAGTGAGTGTGGTTGGGATGAGTGACAATTGGACTAGGTGATCTTAGTAGTCGTTTCCAACTTTAATGATTCTATAATGGCCAGCAGTGGAAGACTGCCCTGGATTTGGCAATGGCCTGGCTTCAAGGGTGCCATGAGAGAGGCTTCCTGAAGTTCTTCCAAGGAAAGCTCAACTGATGTGGCACTTTTATAATTTCTCTATTAGCAATGACTCAATTAAGATGTGAAGCTACAGATAGCTGGAAGAGATTGTGTGGCACACACACAGTAATAACTTTTTCTTTTTAAGGAATAACTGTTGATGCTTGATCTGTCTCAGGTTGGGCCCTGATCTGTTGCTGAGCTCTCTTACTTAGCACTGATCGTAAGAACAAACTGCACTGATTGCCCCTCCCCACCCCCCGACACTCATTAGCAATGATAATTAATTAACAAGTACATAGCCCTTAGACTTTGTTGTGATTTGTGAATTAGATTTGTAGATTGACCTAAATAAGGTGCTTTTTATTCACGGTTATGAGAGACTTTGCAATAATAACTTATGTATTTCTCTTTTAGGGTAACATAATGGCTAAGTATAATTCCCAGTGAATGGACAGATTTGATGACCATACTGAGAGTTCACTCTGATGGATGGTATTAGGAAAACAGGAAATGAAGGCAAGTATAAGAAACAGCAGGAGGGATGTTAGGTACCATGCTGAGGACCCCAAAGCATCACCTTAATGATTTGAAAGCACCTATTAGAGTAATTAGAAGAGTTGCACTTGCGTGCTCTCAGCAGCAAGGACTCATTTTCTGCTGTCTGGCTGCAACACAGCAGCAACAGATATGGGGACAGCAGTTTCCAGGAACTACCTGAGGCAGACAATAAGAAAAGTATGATGGGAGCAAAGATCCCTTTCAGGATGACACATCTCCGAAGAACCTGGCAAAGCAGCTGCACAGGCTCTTCCCACTGAGCCTCCCCAGTACAGAAAATGAGCAGAACAGCCCAGAAGAGGGACAGGAAATCAGTAAGTTTTGTTTATACATATATAGCTGCCCATAAGAAATTAGAAAGAGATTTGATTGCATTCTCCTATTTAAATAATTTGCATGCAATTACATAAATAATTATGCATATATTTAAATAGTCTTATTTAAATAATAGCAGCTATTACTTACTGTGGAATTCAGATGAATGTAAACTAGCAAAACCATGATAAAATGCTCTGTATTCTTCTTGCAGGTCTCCTTCCCACAGAACCCTATATAAAATCTGTTCTTCAGCCAACCCCATATATAACCAGATATAGGTTATGGTAGGAAATATAATAAACTCCCATCTCCAGTTATCCATTTCAAATCAAAGTTTTGCGCTTGTGTTTAGTAAACCTGTACTTTTAGCTGTGGTTTATGAAATGTAATGTGAATTTGAACTAGTATCAATGGTCAAAGTATATAAGTGGACAGAGACTGGATCAAAAATATTGTCTGTAGTTTGGATGAGACCAGGCTATCTTTGAGCATTGCTCAAAGATAGAACAAAGGGCAATGGGTGCAAAGTGGAACACAAAAAGTTCCATTTGAACGTGGGGAAAAAATTATTTTTGTGAGGGTGAGAGAGCACTGGAACAGGCTGCCCAGAGGAGTGGTAGATATCTCCTTCTGGAGATATTCAAGACCCACCTGCATGCTTTCCTGTATAAGCTTCTGTAGGGAAACTGCTTTAGCAGGGCATTGATGTTAGACTTGATAGTCTACAGAGTCCCATTCCAACTCCTACAATTCTATGATTCCATGATCTCTTATGTATGTAAATCGATTTGGATTCCTTGTTCTTGGCTTGCATTGTATCTCAGCCCTAACTTGATTATTCATCTTGTTAAAAAAAAAAAGCCAGCATAATTATTTCCTCATTTAGAGCTGGTCTTAGTCTTGGAGGCAGGCTGGAATCAGACTGATGGTGAAGTGTATTAGTAGGAACTGCATCAAATACTTTACTCATTTTCACTTTGCATTTTTCTCACTCATGCTGTTATTCAATTTCATGAATATGAAATGAATGTGTTTCATTATCCAATTAATTAGCACCACCACTGTTTCTAGGATCAGTAATATATGCCATAATGAATAAAAGAGCCTGTGCCTCATGGCTTCATAATTGCTCAGCATAAAAGGCTTATATTGTCCTTGCAGTGCTTCCCTGGACTTAGTGTGGGTAGCTTTAAACTGGACATGACAACTCACTAGAAACCTTCCGTGCAACCTGTGTCCCACTCAGTCACAGCAGTGGTACAGCTCAAAATGGTATAAAGTTTCTTAAACATAAGCATGAGCCCCATCAGGATTTCTCAGGAAAGCACAGCTGTTGTGCAAGAGAGAGGAGAACCAGTGAGAGGAGATTGCTTCTCACCCTGTGGCATAGGGGCATCTGGGAGGATTTGCTGCAGGTGTTCCTCTAGCAGCAGTGAGAACACAGCTTATGTTGCCTTTCTGCAGGAGATTGCCATTTTCACCCTTCCTGCCTGTCTACTGGAAGGATCACATTCAAGAACTGGAGTTTTATGTTCTCTATATTATCAAATTTATCACTATACTTAGAATGCATTCTACAGAGACATTTTTTATACTCCTGTATGAACCAAATTAGTTATTTTGCTCTTTGTCACATGGTGAAAACATACATGGAAGTCTTTATAAAATTATTTATGAGCGTCCTAAGCCTGATCAAATGTGCTTTACATTTCATGAAATTATTTCTAACTGTGGAGGAAGAAGTAGATAATTTTAGGCTAGTAGCAATGTAATTTATGAGAGACGAGTTTGCCTAGCAGGAATATCTATGCCAAGCATTGATGTATTAGAAGACTAAATTGAAATTTAACACTAACAACTTAACCTCTTGAACTGAGTTCCTCATATAAAAAGGCAAAATCAAAAAAAATATAGTAAATGCAGTAGTAAGTAGTAAGAACATTTTGGAAGATATGCACATAAAGCAGATTACTATTTGTAAAAGCTTGATTTAACTGACTTGTGCAGTTACTTCCTAGTCTAGACAGGAACTAAATCTCTGTCCATGAAATATTTCAGCTAAGTGTTGCAAACACCATGTTTCTTCCTAAGAAAGTGATTCTAAATTCCTCTTGTAAAGAACTCAATTCTGTTGATTTCAGACATTTTTGGAGGGTGCCCTATTACCTCACTCTCTCTCAGGGGCTTTGGGGTCTTGGAAAGGCAAGACATGCTAGGCATCACTGGAACAGGGTCAGGGTAAGGCAGGCACTGCTGAAGTTTACCAAGTTGGTTCCTACAGATCCTATGCTGGGACTTTGGAGAACACAGTTTTGCCCTTAGAAACCTCAACTGCACTTAGCTCTTGTTTTCAGCACCTGATTGGAACTAGATGATCTTTAAGGTTTCTTCAAACCCAAGCCATCCTATGATTCCATACTAGGTTTTGCTGCTTGTCAGAGAATTTGTTTAGTCTTCATGAATTTCAAAGCTCCATCAGAAAACTTTTCAAGTAAATCATGAGAGTCCAGATCAGCTGCAACTTCTTGCATCATCTCATTTGAAAATTGCAGGTGTAACGTCTGAGCTCAAGTAATTTCAGATACCCTATTTCAAATAGTGGCCTGTGGGTCATTTTGGTCAGCTGGTTTGGATAGTCATCTGACTGCATGGTACCAGCAAACAGAGCCATGAAACTCCTTTAGGCATCATGCACCAGTCACGTGATTACCATTGCTTATGAGGGAATATGGAGAGAAAAATCACAGCAACTACTGGAAAAAGCAACAATTAATAATCACAATTTCTGCTTACTCCTTCCAGATGCCAATGATGGAAGAACCAGATCTCATTAAGCTGGCTGGGGATTGTGAAAGTCTGGGCTCTCTGTAACACGTCAGAGAGAAGTGAAAAAGCAGGAGCTGAGGGAATAGATTATTCAGAGGCATGTAGGCTTTGTATTTTGTTTAAATTAGGTTATTGATTTTCCTATTATTTTGCACAGCGAAGAAGTGTGGTTCAATGGCATTTTATTTGAAGCTGTAAATGAGCAAAAGATTGTCCCATTTAAGAGAAGGAATCTGTCTTTTTTGCTCGTTTCTAAACAAATGCTCTAAGGAGGCAAGCAAAGAGGTCACCTCCTCATGTTCCACACCTGGTAACATATCAAGTGTTACCATGCTCCATATCCATGCTCCCAAACACAGCTCCATACACTTGACACATTCAGGGCATCATTTCCAATGCACTGATCCTTCAGTCCCAGAAAGAGCTTCTGGATTTTCCTTGCCCCCCCTTCCCAGCAGACAAGCCATGCCTCAGCCAGTGCCCAGCGCTGTTGTAACCAACCCTTGCTCGGAGGGACTTTGGTGCTGAGGCAAGGCTTGGAGGCGGTGAGGGATGCTGACTGCCTGGAGAGAGGGTGTCCAAAAGAGGTAGAGTTGATGCTGATACAGAGGAGAGATTCTCTGTACTTGAAGAAGGGAGATAAAGACCTTTCTACAAAGATCTGGGAGGAACCCAGGCAGACTTGGTCAGCGAGCAGGATACAAGGAACCAAGCATAAGAAATAGGGGGCACATGCTTGTAAGACTGTGCTGCAATTTTAATCTGTGAAATACCTTTCCCACTCCAACCTACTGCACATTTCCATCTCCTTTATTTATCTTCTTATGTGTGGGCTACTGAGTTTTGACTATGTTGCTGTAAATGCAGTAGTTAGACAAGAGATTCTCTTTTGGGGCCTGCTTTAGGTGACCCTTGGCACTGATTTCTACCCTATCAGAAATCTTACAGAATTTAACGATGGTATGTTTTTTGTTTGTTTGTTTTTGTTTGTTTTTTTTTGTTACTAACATTAAATAATTTTCTCAAAATAATTTTAATACTATTCAATATCTTGTTCTCATTCAGTGAAAAATTATATGCAGCTTTCCGTGTGCAGTGATGAGAACATAAATCATGGTAATGCAGGTGGCTCACCTACAATCAGACGAGCCACACACATTCAAAGCCCTGCACACCTCCACATTTCACAGCTGCTTTTGACAGTGAGAAACTTCAGCATCTGAGTTACAGCTACCAGCAGCTAAATACAGCTACAGAAGCGTTTCCTACAAAAGCTATTTTCCTTTTATTTCTAGCCTGTATTTATGATGCCTCTGTTCACACAGCTCTGACTCCCAGGTATATCTCTCTTAATTTTCTTGTTTTCTTCCACATCACCATTCACCATCCCTCTCTGAGCTCTATAGGCACTGGAAAGCATTATCTGTATCTGCAGCATATCTATTGTCTTCCCTGATCCATTTCCCACAAAAATCGTTCTTCCACTTTGCCCTGTCTTAGTGCATCTTTTAGCTCTTCTTCTTCTTCTTTTGACATGAAGGTTATTTTATTTTATATTTTTTTACACTCAGCCTGGCGCATTTGAAGTTCTGTGCCTCCTGCAGTGTGCCAAACATCTGCACTATATTCTTGCAGAGCTTTGAAAATTCATGCTGTTAGTTTAACCCTTCTCACACGAATCACATTTTGGAGCACCTTGTCCCTGCTGTCAGGTTGAAATGCTTTTTGGATAGTCCTCTGCCAAGCAGGGTGAGGGCACAATAGCTCTCCTTCCCACCCTTCCCCATATATTGCTTGTTGCAGGTGCACAGCAGTTCTTTCCCCATGTTCCCAACACCACACCTGCATCTAAGGCTATAATAAACATATAGCTTGCACCAAGAAAACCCTAAGATATAGTACAGGTCCACTTTTCTGATAGCAATAAAGCCAGCCCTCTCAGCTCATGGGAGCTTGTGTACCCCAGCTCATTTAGGACACCATCCAGCAAGTTGGTATTAACAGGACCAGGGCTGTCCTGTGTGGACAAGATGGCTTCAGGCTCCACTGTCTATTACATCCAGTATATTGATACCTACTTTGATATAGAATGCTGCTCTACATTAAATATTCCAGCAAAACATAGCAGATTGGAAGCATTAGAATTTAACCTTTACAGGACAGCCCATCTTTATGTCTTTAGACCAGTGGAAGCTTTCTTGATGATCTCTTGGAATCAACATTTCCCACTAAACTGACTGGCAGTAATAACAACACAAACTAACCAAAAAATCCAAGGAAAACATTGTTCCCAATGTGCTGCTTGCTTGAGATTATTGAATGTAGGTCACTGACTTGTAGGAGCCAGTGCTTTAGACTTTGATTGTCTAGAAATGTATAGCAAGTGACAACAGCAAATTCTAATTTGCACCACTCTTTGTGTGCTGCTGGTAATGTCCCAGCCCATTATCATCAGGCCTTGTGGCATCTGTCCTTGCCTTGTGTGACTGTCCAGTTCTCACATGTAGGTCAGGACCATGTCAACCCTTGAACAATAGCCTCTCTTCCTGTTTAAATTACAGTTTCTTTCTCTGATAATGTCTCCATTCCGTCTTCTTGCTGTCCCAGAGTTTAAAATGCAATGAGATAAAGCCAGCAGACCACATTTTGCTTTGTTACAGGATATGAATGCACAGATATGGTATTTTCTGCAATAGATTAATGTCCCATTGTTACTACATTCAGAACTGAACTTGATGGGCAGCCTCTGTGGAGGCAATAGCTCAATGAGAGCCACTCTCTAAGTGCTGCAAAATGGGACTCCTTCTTTTTTTGCAAGAGAAGGCATATAAAGGGTATCTATTAAATTAAAACAAGCTAAAATAGATGCAGCAGTCTTCCTAGTTAAGCAGAACCTGAATTCTTAAAGAGAAATTTATATTTCCTTCTGATGGATATTTATTAACTTATTTTCAGACATCACAGTATCATAAAATCATGAGTTGGAAGGGACCCTTAAAGGTCATGCTGTCCAACTCCCCTTCAATGAACAGGACATCTACATCAATATTGCTGCTCGTTCTTCTGGCTCTGTGAAGTCCTGAAATCTTGTTGAGTGCTGAAATTGCTGCAAGTTCTGTAGTGCCTTCTGTCCCTTGTACTAATTATTAAGGTTGACAGCTTTCAGGATGCAAATTTAACCCATGCATTTTCACCCCATTCTGCTTACCTGCTTAAGGATTTCTGCTGCAGTTTCATGTGAGCAATCAAATATTACGTAGAACTCCTTGCCTTTCTTCATCTCCTTGAGTAAAGGCCGGGCATCTTTATTCCCAGACGGCAATTGGCGGATTTTGATTTTAATGTTGTATCTAGAAGGGGCTTTGATGAGCTCTTGCAGACGAATTAGACCTGAAAAATGATACACAGTTCTTCAAACAATCTTTTTAGTGCAGTGAGTGTTTATTGTCACTTGGAAAGTGTCTTTTATCAGTCCTAACATTTCACATTTCTAAGCTGCTATCTTCATATTTGCCAATTTCTTGATTGATACAGCTTTTCTTTTTCACTATTATACTTGGCTTCACGTCTGAATACTCTGAAATATGTTTTGAATTTGTTGACTATAGTATATGTTTGCACTGATGCAATACGGATACTGTATATTGCAAAAAAAGCAGTAGCTAGCAGCAATTAGTATCTCAGTATTAAAGAATAAGAACATAGATTTAAGAAAATCCCCTTACTAACTTTCCTACCTAATAGTAAGCATACGTAGATGAGGAGAAATGGTGGAACGAAACCATTCAATGTTCAGCATCTCCACTGTTGCTCACTTAGAAGCAATGGTTAGCTTGGGTGGCACTTAGAAATGATTGTTCTTGATAGGCACCCATATGTCTTTCATTGTCCTCATTTCAGCATGTATTGCAATACCCCAGAGAGGGGAACTTTAATTTTTTTTATCATCAATTTAGAGACAAAAAGCTCAAGGGCATAGTAAAATTAAATGACTTATTTAAGTTCACTCAGCAATTCTGAGATCTTAGAAAGTATTGAAATATTTTGAGATCCAGTTCTATGTCTGTAAACACAAGAACATGATTCCTAGTGCTGTTCTTCAGCTGATACAAATCTACAGGGCTTATTTGAAGTCAGTGAAGCTTAACCAGTTGAAGATTTGCCCAAGTATTTAAACACAGTGCAACTCTACTAGCTAATTCAGCACTCCTATGCAATTTGTATTGCCTCCAAAAACAAAGTAAGATAGTTAAGAGTTCTTTGAGGTGTGTGATTACAGTCTCCTTCTCATTACCCATGAACTTAATTTTCCAACCAAAAACTTGTGATCTCCTGCTGTGTGAAAGTAAAAGGCTGTCTTAACAATATGTAGAGAGGGGGAAACAAGCAAGGAGCTCTTCTTAAATAAAAACCAATCTAATGATGGATATGAAAAAACTCATTGCTCTCCTGCTGGGAGTTATATGTTTATCTTGTACATCAATATCCATGGTTCACTGATCCAATGGCACATAGAAGGCAAAACAAAACATCTCTGTTTCTTCTGATGTTAGCAAGTTGCTACATATTGCTGTGTTGGCTGTTGGCTTCCGCTATTGGCATTCACTCAATTTTCTGGCAATGTTTTTTTGAAAAAATAATCTTTCCTTCTGCCTGCAGTGCTGGGTTTGTTCTTTCAGGTCTTCGAGTATCAACAATCAATACAGAATATTAAGTATTATGAGTATTCAAATGTAAATTACTGCGCACATTGTGAGATTAGAGCCTGGCTGGAAGCCAGCCTGTGTAAATATGAAACAATTTGAACTCATTATTATGGGGATGGAGTGCATCCTTCCAACACTGACTAACAAGTAGGAGTTTATGTAATCTGTCTGTAAAGCTATAACTTGGTTGTATAACACATTCAAGTATTCAACTGTTGACTCAGCCACTATATCGAACAGTGACTCTAACAGGATAGAATTAGTTTCGGGATAAGGGGAATCCAGCATGTAAGGAATCTCTGCACCCTCAGACTGAGTGTTGTTATATATCTTTGCAGAATCAGAAATTACTTAACTACCAGTGCATTTGAACTACAAGGGCAGAAAAAAAGGATATTAAACTATCTGTTTCAGCCACATAGGAGTTCTGCTTCTCATCAATCAATCATCAGTGTTCTCCTCTTCCTCTTCCTCCTGCTCAACAAATGCAAACCCTTGGATGTTATGCTACCAATATTTTATTTGGAACATATCTTGAGTGCTGAGTACATAGTCTGACTCCCAGGGTCAGAGATGAAGGTTTGGGAAAGCACAGTTTCCTACAGCTGTCATTTCCTCTTGCTTATTGAGACCAAACATTCAGTCTACAATAGTCCGGAGGCCTCAGTGACTCCCTCTGAGGTCTGAAAAAGGAAGTAGCAGCTAGTATGGCAAGGAGTCATAAGTAACATTATCCTAAGCATTTGTTTACTCTCTACAAAGTAAATGATGTGACTTAAACCGTTTTGCAGGTCTGCACTAGAGCAGGAACTTCAGTACAGAAAATGTTGTAGAGTATAGCCAGGTGAAGCCGCAGTAGCTGAATGCGAACTTCAAAGAGGCCAAAGAGAGTCCCATTGAGAAAAAAAGCACAATTCGGGCCATTAAACCAAAGCTGTAGGGATGGGAACCAGACCTTCAGCGCTAATTTTCTTGGCCTATTGCCTCTATTCTCTTTTCCAGACTTCAGAACTCTTTTTCCTTTTCTTTTTGAACCAGTGTTGGGAATTGTATTTAACATTGCTGGATTCAGTATTTTTCCAACTTGTCTTTCACTGATTTGAACATGAGAAATGGTCTTTTCTGACACAAGCAAAATGTTTAAATATGTGAAAGTCTTTGAATATTTCATATCATTTCACAGTGTCTAAAACTGCAGCAAGTTGTGTGTGATATACTTAGGAATTCAAACATGCCTAACATGAATGCAGTGCTCCAACAGCCAAATAATCATGCACACTGATGGTAATAATCATACACTACTAGTGGTAGTGTGTGAGTAGAAAGTGTGCACTTCCCCATTTCCCCTTTCTTTTTTTAATAATACATTTCTGTAGTTTATTCTTTCACACTTAAAGGTTAATGAGGTGGTTTTACTGCAATAAGAGAAAATGTTTTTATTAGAAAACCATTAGGGTTAGCCAAGTTTGAGCTTTTCTTTGAACGATGCAAGTTCAAAGAAAGCAAATTTTGTAAAAATTCAAATTTTGCTCTATGCAATCAGATTGAAATGATATGACAAAAAGATTTGGCTCCTGAGAATTTTAGAAAGTTAGGAGATCTGGCTATCAAATGGAAAAAGTCAGGCTTTCTGACTGATGAAGTATTTGATGTGGTTGCCCTTCTCACCTTCTGGTGGTTTAAAATCACAGGATTCAGGGAAGATGGAATAGGTAAGAGGCAGAGCCAAACCTGCGCTGAAGGCACTATCATTGCTGTTGTTTGAGCTTTGACAACTGAAATAGAGTCATGTGTCTGTTACAGATCAATGTGCAAAATACCAATAGGCAAAGCAGAGATACTGGAATGGATCTATTACAAACAAAATAAACCACAGAAAAAGATGCATAGCCAGCTCTGGCATATAGAACGGTAAACCTTAATTTATGGTACCCAAGATTGGGATGTGCAGTGCTTGATGTACAATACACTCTAGCCAAGTTTTGTTGGACTGTTTTAAAACTAGCAGAGAAAATTCTTTGCCTTACACAGGCAAGGCATTGTACTTGACATAAATCAACGCTTTTAAATTAATTAATAGGCAGAATTAAGGATGATTACGGCCTGGTACTCCAATAATAAATGGAGTTATGCCTAATATGTAAAAAAGAAGGTCAGTCTCAATTAAAAAAAAATAAAACAATATTTGCGTAGGAGTTTTACTTTCCTTTCGTAGTAGAAAACTATAGGCAGTAAGGAGTAAACTGCGAATTTTAAAGGGAGAAAACCATGGGATCTTTATCCTATGCTCAGAAGCTTTGCTATCTAGAAAAATAATTTTGGCTGAAAGTCCAACACTTTGACTAAAAGTCCATCTTTCAATGGCACAGAAAGGACAGAAGTTAGAAATAAATATCAGCTATAGTGTATTTTATTATTCTACTTATACTGAGGGCTGAGAGGCAAGAGGGTAAAAATCTGATTGACTCACCTCAGGAAAAATGAAGGAATTTTTCTAATATGATTTTAGAATAAAATACAAGCTCTAAAGAATGGTAGGTCCCTTTGTAAGGGACAGTAAAGTTGTTTAGCATGGTATGTAGAAGACAAAAGTTGCTAACATTTCTGTGTTTGATAAGAAGCAGGATGAGTAAGTGCTTCCTATTCTAAACACAATTTTTAGCACTGTTGGTTGCAGATTTTCTAGATTTGTTGATATGAATTTTGCTTATCGTTGAAAGTCCTGCAGAGTCAGCCACGTAGATTATTAACACTCAACCATTGATTTAATAAATGCTGAAACTTTGAATAAATTACAGAATGCCAGAAATATGCCAATATTAAAAAGTGTGTATGAGATGATAAGTAATAATTTACCCTTAAGTGTCAGCAGTGGACAAATTAGGAACAAATCTGATATGGTTACAAAACGCTGAAGAACAAAATGTTGGGTCTACAGTAAAAGACACACTGTGCTGCCAAGGAAAGATAGCTCTGTCTCACACTAAATTTCTTTGTTTGGTGTGATAAATTCTGTTGATATAGGCAGCTTCCTAGATGTATAGGACATGCCCCCTTCCTGGAAGGTGCACATCTTGTATCAACCTGCTCATAAAAAATTCAGAACTGTAAGGTATTGTAAAATATTCATTTGCCCGATCACAAAAAGTAGATGTCAATGAAAAAAAAAATTATTAAACAATAAAAATCTGTGAAGGCTAGTAGTAGGTCTTTCAGAAATTTGTCATGCTCTTGTTTCTGTATTCATTCCAAAATCAGCACCTGGAAAAAAGTTACGGCTGAAAGAGTGTTGGATTGCAAAAACTGGCAGGATGTTAAATACTGTTTGAGATAAGGAAAGTATAAGTGATTCAGATCATTAGGAAGCATGAGTTCACTGAGATGAACTGATTTTGTATCACTGCCCAAACCTGCATTTCTCTTGGTGGAAGTGTGCATGTGGTGATGAAAGGTGAATTACAGGAGATAGGGGGAAACCTCAGATTGGCAGACAGGCATGGTATGTGGCCTCTGTGCCAGAGGTGGTCGTGATGGCATGTGGGCTTAGATCAGTACTGCAGTATGAATGATGAAAGCAGGGTTTTCAGTCTTCAAAGTAGATCCTTAAACTGGAAGCAGGGCTGATCTGCAAGCTCCGAAACAACCTGAGTATGCATCATGGGAAGTTCAGTGTTACAGCCATTAATTCATGGTTTAATTAGGAAAGAAGCTGCTTTTCACATATAATTTGTCTCAAAGAAAAAAAAATCTTTGGATTTTTTCCTATTTGTAGTATAAAAATGACAAACATGAGAGATGAGAACTAAAAAAAACCTCCAGCTAAATGGTATCAATTTAAACTCAAACCAAGGAATATTTACATTGATCAAAGTTGACCTCTTTTCTTCCCTGACTTCATGTTAATAAGATGATTGATGATTAATTTACTTTGGAAATATTCCTGCAAATGAAGTCTCTTTCATATCAATCAATTTTTATAACTGAATATGTACACAACACTTGGTGTTTTGGAATGCTAATTTGCTATTGGGGTAGGCTGAAAAAGATCTCTGTTTACCTATTGGTATATTTTTGGATATACTGCTAGTTGCTCAACAGAAATCCTGCTGATCTAGACCATCTTAGTATAGATGCAAGAAGTATGCTGTAGAAAACACAGCTTGACTTGCTCCTTCTTATCTACCTCCTGCACTGTGGTATATTCTGAGTCTAAGGTGTACAGAATAGAATACTGGCATTGAAATGTACCTCTGGTATCCAGCAGGAGATGTGCTTCTTATGTCCTGTCAAATGTATCAAATTTATATAAATAAATATATCTTTTCTAGTGTTAAAATTACTGTGTTTTCTGTTTGATGTTTTCTTAAGTGTAACTTAGTGCCTTGTGAAAAAAAACAAAAACAAACAGTTAGGTGGTATTTTTTGCTTAATATTTCCCACATTTTGATGGGAGAGCTATAGACCTCTCTGAGTCTTTAATGGTTTGCTTACTTGTAAACTTCTTATGAACTTCAATTATGGACAATCTGTGACAGAATATTCACTGCAGGAGAGATCATACTCTCTGCAATCATGCATGCAATAATTTTTGGTGTATGATCTTGCTGGATAGGACTACTTCTGAAAAAACTTTGGAATGCAACTATGTCAATGGTCAGAAGAGCTAGTAGATTTTTCAAAAACAAAGTCTCACTCCAGTGAGGGAAATTTCACTGCTTGCTATATTTTGGCTGTTAGTATAAGAAGTGGTATCAGCTACAGCAATAGTAAAGCCTAGGTAATTAAAGATATACAAAAGTGGCTTGGATTGCCTTATAACATCAGTGCTCTTGCTCAATGTCTGTGTATTAAAAAAGTGAAAGTCATAGTCTCTGATAATGTTTGAAATCACTTCTTCCCAGGAATGAGTTTGTTATTCTCTTGTTATTATCATTTATTCATTTGCTTGCTATATGAATGAAAGGGATGTTTAACTGATATTCTTTGTCCATGCTATTTTAATGGACAGCTGTAACTACTGCTTTTCCACAGAGGAGGTTCTTGTGATAAAGAAGGAATAATCTTATCTGAGTTAAGAGTTTCAAGCTGACAACATTTACACAAGTTTTAACTTTCAGATTCAGCTTTTGGTACCCAGCTGACAATGGATTTGCTGAGACAGTTCCAAGGAAAAAGATAATCTCTATGTTAAAATGCTGCAGTAAATGCATTCTTTTTAAGACTCTCAGTAGAAATCCCTAATCAGCCCCACCCTAGACTATTTATCAGTTTGAAGCTGATATTGGTTCCACAAATAAGAAACAAAAGGTGACGTATTACCAAGAATTCTGGAGCTATCTCCAGGTGACTTCTTAAGTTTGGATGAAATGAACAGCGTTCCAAAAGCCATAGGCACAGAAGCCTAACTGTTCCCTAAGAGATCTTTTGTATTTGGTGCAAGTACTCCAAACTGAGCTATCACAGGTACTTTTGTCACAGAAATTATTTATGTACATTCATTAGCTGAAGCACTTGTCTTGCAGTGCACCAGTGCCACTTACCTGTGCTGTCTTCATAGACTACTGTCACTATTTTCCAGTTGTAGTATAGTACAAGATCCAAAACTGCTCTGCTGATGGCTGCATAGTCTGGGTAGAGGTTGATATAAAATGCATCCTTGTGATCAACCGTAGGGTGTTTCCATCGGGTCTGAATATGTGGGACTTCAAGTGCATTGCAAATGGACTGCACAGCGCTGACCGAGGAGCTGTGGGATGGTCCAAACAGAGCAGCTACACCAAGAGCAAGCTGATCACATGCTGCAGGGACAGGAAAAAGCTATTAGTCAGCAGAAGGAGGTAACTTGTGTAGCATTTACTGAGACCACTTATTCTTCATCCATGTCCACCATTTTGAAGTGAGAATGAGTAAACTCGTTATTCCAAAACCTACTTGTAAATACTTCCTGAAAATGGCTTTGCTGATTAGCATTATATCCTAGAACAAGCTTGCTACATATAAAAACCAAAACAGTTTAGCTCACCACTGACTTCAGATCACATTGATTCCTGAATTACTTTTCTCAGAATGGCATTTTCCTGGAGAAACCGGGAGCTTCTCATTATTGGCTTGCCAAAGAGACGTTGCATGAATTAAGTTTCATGGCAATATGTCAGGGAATACATTCATGGAATCACAACAGACACTATTACAGATTCCCACCATGACTGGCAAGCTACTACCTATGCGAGTTGCTTTAATTTCAAGCTAATGAAGTAACATAAACAGCAAAGGGCATTATGATTTATGGCACTCCATAATCGGTGTTTACAGAAGAAGCAATAAAGCTTAAAGGCATAAGTAATGACATGAAGAAATAAAGAGCCAACGTCACTGACATTTTAATATCTTTCCAAATCAGTCAAATGCCATTATCAACAAAGACTTCTTTCTCCTGATGTCTATACCCAGTGCAGTTAATATCTCCAGCAAGAAAATCTCTCCTGTAGGAGTATTTTTGTTTCTTTTCCTCTCCCGTGTGTTTTCAGGCTAACTGACATGAGATGAAGGGATATTAACTACTTTTGTCCATTTTTATAATTTACTGCAGATGTTTCTGATGGGGTCTGTACGGACTGGGACAAAGCCTTGCACCGAGCTGCCTGTTGCTCTCTTTGTAAGGTAGCTCTTTGTTGAAAGTCTAGAAATCTCTGCTATTAGACTAAATACTAAATACTTAGTGTTTAGACACCCACAATGAGCAGAGGTTTTTAAAATTAATATTTACTTATCTAATAGTAATAAAATAGAACAGAAAATCAATTATTTTCTGTTTTCAGCCTACAGACGGATGTCTCACAGATGACATAAATGCACAGGCTTTCAAAGTTTAATTCAGAAGCTTTCTGAAAAGATAGCAAATTTTAATGTGAAAATTAATAAATAATTAAATAAATAATATCAATAATTCATACTGAGAAGAAATTTCTATTTTCTGCATGGATTCCTTATGCTCATAGAATTTCAAAAATATTTGTAATGATCTCCTTTCTACAGACTACATGGACAAGGTACTGAGGTAATTTCACAGTAGTCACAGAAGAAGAGGTTTCCACTATACAGAGAATCTAATATCTTGTCAGGCTGGATTATATGGATTACAAATGCAGCACATTTCATTTTCAACAGCATATAGTATCATCATGTTTGATATTTGGAAATACGCATCATTTAAAGCTATCTTTGATGTTTTTTTTTCCCCAATCTTCAATCTTGCTTAGGAAACTAGAGTACCATAAGGAAAATTTCTTAGACATTTGAAAGGCAGCTTTCTTACATGATTTGTTTATTTTCTAGTATTTATTTGCCTTATAGCAAACATATCTTTTAACTTACTGCGAGCACGTTTTGTAACATTCACAGAAACAGATGCTATAATGAGCTGCAAAGCACATGTGCAAAGTCTTGGCAACTTATGGGTCTTTTCCTGGACTTGCTTGCTTGAGATTGCATGCACACCATGCAATTCCAGGAACTAGGCTCCTGCATATTTTTTAGCAAACTTCAAGATTGCCTCCTAGAGGTGAAGAAATACACTGTGCTTAAGGAAAGTTACGGTATTTTTTCTTCTTTCTGTTTTACTCTGGAAGTAAATTAGACACAAATAATTGGGCAATAATTTTCCCTCTGGGAACAATAAAAGAATAAGCAAAAAATGCAGAGCTTGTCCAATCCTTGTTGTACATTTGTTTGTAACAGAAGAATTGCACTCATATCTCTAACGCACTGAAGTGTTAATATTTCAGGACTGAGAGAGTACTGGTCTCTGCTCTTTAAAGTAGAAATCATTTGTTATGAATAATGGATATCTGTGTGCATGTGCTAATTATGGGTTGTGACATCCCACTGTGCTCCTTGTTAGGTAGTGATCATTTTCTGCAGAATTCCAGGTGGCAAATCTGTTTTTTGGAAAGAAAAAGTGGTTAGTCCTGCCACCTTCCATCTGGGGCTCTTAGCATGCAGACAGAATGTAGGTGTTTCATCAGAAACTATATGACAAGTCCAACTCAGCTTGATTCTTAGTTCAAGTAACTTTGAAATATAAAATCTTATGTTAACATTTGTATACACATTCTACAACTGGAGGAAAAGAGATCAGGGTGTGGAAACATGGTATGGAACAGAGATATGTTACTGACATAGTAATTGAGATAATTACCTCTTCTCGAGGCTTCAAAACTATCAAAAAGGTTAATTCTCTGGATGTCATAGGTTAATGTTGTATTAGGCATCAGTGTTCTGTTTCTATTAATGTTGGTGACTGCAAACTTGAAAGCCAATTCTTCAATATTAACAGGCTCATTTTCCACAGTTTCAAAGATCCCTCCTGTTGATAGAGATAAAGGAGAAGTATTATTCACCTCTTCATCACTGTACATAAAAGAGAAAAATAAATTATGAGCAAAACTAGGTTGTATTCATAAAGGAAAACAATTAAAATCACAGTTAAAAGCACTAAAGCAAAAGCACATTGGATCATTAGCTTGTATCTACAATGTCACCATAGGTTAGCTTGGTATTTTGAATGTTGGTTAGACCAACATCTGTGAAAGATAATGCGTGCTTATCATTCAGGTTTCCTAAAGTAAAATGCTTAAATCTTTGTTAAAACTTCTGTTGAGTTCCCAACTAAATACGTAGTGGTATTCATTGGTTTTGTTTGCCCTGCTCATTCTAATGTATGTTTAGAAATGCAATTCGGATACGTTGGAGATGTTTTCAGAAGTGTACACATCCTGGCAGTACAATTTCCACACTTAGCAGTAGCAGCTTGAGGAGAAATTGACTGGAAATTTCCTCTTGAGGTCTTTGCCTCAGAACGGCTTGTTTTGTTGTTGTTACTTACACTTTGGGCATCACTGTTTGCCATCAGCAAATGGCTTTGCTTATTCAAAGATCATTAATGTATAAGCTGAATTTGTTATAAAACATAACTGAGCCACACTGCTCCCACAAAAGATTCCAACTCTGTGCCAAAGTGGCAAGTGATGTCACCTGGGGAGTAATGTCTACCAGTACTAATATGGAACTGATTTAGAAGTCCCCTTGCAAGGACAGTGCTGCATCTATCACAACTGCTTTCAGCTTCTTCCTCTAAACTCCTAACATCTGCTTCAAACTATTTGAACAACTAGGTTGTCCCAACCCATTCTGTACAACGTCAGTCAAGCAACTGCTCTTTGAGCTCTGTTCAATTTGTCAGAACTCATTTTTTATCTTTCAGACTGAAATTGTACATGCTTCTTGATCCTTGATAAAAAAAATGATGTGAATCAGAACTTTTCTTTAACATGTAAGCAAGTAAAGAACCAATTTTGATTTTAATTTTGGAAGCATTATCAATTGTTTTCTCATGTTTTCTGAGCTCAGGAAGGTGGCTATGTTTCAAGTAAATAGGCTGTCCCACTTATACTGGGATGTCTACTCCCTCTAGCCTCTGAGATTATATAATGCCAACAACACATTCAGGCTGTCTGGGAGTATTGGGATTTGATGAATGCGTAACAAACACAGCTAATTTGAAAAAAAATAGCTCCTTTAAACAGCAATTTCCAGCTTCAGTACTTGATTTTGCAAGTATAATTTACTAATTTAGTGCGAGTCACTAGAGAATACTTTGGATTTCTCTGTTTCATATTTTCACATTTCCCCATGTGAAATTTGAGCTTTAGCCATCACTTAATATTTCCTGAGCATGAGAATGTATTCAGCTAATGCAATTTTGACGTCACCAATGTAGGAGTAGTGCAGTCATTAGCTGACAATCAGAAAATGGAAACACAGCAGAATTAAAACCTGTTTTGAATTTCAACTCAGCAATGAAAACTGGAGGCTATGAAACCCAAGTTATTTCTAGTCACTCTCAAATACACAACATCTCTAAACATCTCTCAAAACCATGTATAACAATACCTAAACACAACTTTAGAAATTTTGCCAATTTAAGCAAAGTTTTAATTTACTATATGTATTTCAGATTTGCATTTTAGGTATGCAGTTCTTTCAGAGCCTATAATTCCTCCTTACAATAATAATGATACCAACAAGCTCACCTCTTTTCTGGTTCACTAAAATTTACTTTTCCATCTTTCGTCTAAGGAACACAAGTACTTTCTGCTGGCCATAATGCTGTTTTAGTCTTGTGACAGCAATGTATAATAGTTATGTTTTGCTTGGACCTGCTCTAGAATTAGCAGAACATTATTTCATATGACAAGTGGAAAACTATTATTATTATCAGTAGCCTAAGATAACATTCTATTCAGTCAGCATATTGTTAGCAAAAAATCTTCTCCATCATGGAAACTACTATTGTGCTGTGATTGTTCTAGTTACTTGTTTCTTTGTTTATTTAACTTCAAATAACATCTTTTAACCATCCTTTGGTTAAGGAGTTTGGCAGTAGACTTTGTGTCCTATATATACTACAATCACAAGAACTTTTTCATTTCAGGATGAGGACTTTTTCCAGACCTGTAATCAGTGGCCTATTAAATTGAGATTAATTTTAATTAATGTATATTCAGGAGCTATTTATAATTCATTAGCAAATTTTTACAGAATTTTTGCTTGTTACCCTTAAAAGAAGAATAAGGATTCACTGTGCAGGGGGGAGGAGTGGAGGGAAATGAGGATTGATGGAAAGAGTGAAGGTTTTGCTAAGCAAACAAATCAAAACTGCATATATAACATCACGTAAACTTCAAATATAATCAGATATATTTCTCTGAAAGTCAGATGCACAGTCAATACGTTGGTACACATTCAACATATTGTCAGGTGCTCTTTTATACATGTTAACATAGCAGTAATGCTCTGATAGAGAACTTCAGTTAAATGCTTTAATTTGCTGGTGAGATTCTCTGGATAGATCTGCATAAGACTAGGACAGATAGTCATAATTATATGCATGAATTATATTTCATAGAATTGTAGAATCATAGCATGGTTTGGATTGGAATGAACTTCAAGGATCATCTTACTCCCATCCCCCTGCCATGGGCAGGGACATCTTCCATCTTCCACTGGGTCAGGTTGCTCAAAGCACCATCCAAGCTGGCTTTGAACATTTGCAGGGAGGGGCAATCACAACTTCTCTGGGCAACCTGTGCCAGTGTCTCATCATGTTCCAGATGACAAGTTTCTTCCTAATATCTAATCTTAATCTATGCATTTTTAGCTTAAAGCCATTACTCCTTGTCCAATCGCTACACTTTCAGATAAAACAGGTTGCTCCCCACCTTTCCTGTGGGCTCCCTTTAGGTACTTGAAGGCCCCAGTAAGGTCTCCCCAAAGCCTTCTCTTCTACAGGCTGAACAGCCCCAACACTCTCAACCTGTTTTCACAGGAGAGATGCTCCTATCTTCTTATCTTCATGGCCTCCTCCAGACCCGCTCCAACAGCTCCACATCGTTCTTGTGTTGAGGGCCCCAGACCTGGACATTGCAGTCCGGAGGGGCCTCACGAGGGCAGAGCAGAGAGGGACAATCCCCTCCCTATCCTTGCTGGTCACCCCTCTTGTGATGCAGCCCAGGACACAGTTGACCTGTGCTGTGAGTACACACTAGAGGATCTGGTTGAGTCCCTCATACCCCAAGAACTTCCACAGGGTTCTCCTTCAGCCATTCTCCAAAACTGGAACTGTTAAACACAATGCCATTCAGAGTCTCTGAAAGCTACTGCTTCCTTGCCCCCACCACTCATAGGATGGTCTCCTAAGTATGGAGACTACTGACATCACTATTTCAATCAACTAAATGTTTACTTGGCTGTCTGTTCTCCTGATAACACCCTCAAGGAAGCACTAAAGGAGTACCCTGCTGCCCAGGAAACAACTCCATGATATAGTTAATGAAGGAAATCATTGTTTGCTGTTAGTGAAGTTTGAGAAAAGCCAGAACTGCTACCGATCTTTTCTGTTGGGATCTATGTGTGTAAAAAGAGCCAAATCAGCCTATGAATTTGTACCACAAACAAAGCAGCAGGTACAGTCTTAGAATCATAGAATCGTTTGAATTGGAAGGGACCTCAAAGGTCATCTAGTCCAACTCCCTGCAATGAAGAGGGTCTGTTCCATACTGTCATGCTTTCATCTGTGTATTCTTAATAAAATCTAGCCATTTATTAAATCATTTCACTTCTCCCACGTTCTGTTGATGGCTTGACATCAAGCTTAGAATTTATTGTAAGGTTCAGGTTAAAAGAGAAAGATCAGATTAACTGACAAGTTTGATGAAGAACCTGTTTGTCAGATTATTTGTTTAAATAAACAACATTTTAAAAACAAATTAGCCAAAGGATTGTACAAGTGAAAGAAAAAAAATCAATGTTAGCTCAAGATACAAATGATGCTGAAGAAATGAGGCTGTTTCTTCTAAGCTCAAAAACAAGCACTGCCATCCAGGGTAGGCTTGGTAGCATTTAGTAGGGGCAAAGTCCTCCCTTTCACCTTCCTCCTTTCCATCCCAATTGTTCTTTGAAACAATATGTATTCTCATGCATCATAGGCCAACCAAAGTCTTCTTAGTCCTGGGTGGAGGCAGACCTATCTTTCCTTCAGGAGCAGTGGGCATGGCTGAGGCTCCCCAGAGCAGTGGGCATTGCCCCACTTCAAGAAGCATTTGGAAAATTCTCTCGGGCATAGAGTTTGAATTTTGGATGGTCCTGTGTGGAGCCTGCAGTGGGACTCAGTGGACACTGTGCGTTGCTTCCAACTTGTAATATCTTATGATTCTGTGATTCTGCACTGGCACTGTGCTTGCACCCATGGTGGGCAGTTTCAGCCTCCTGAATCACAAGAAAGCTGAGTACTCAAAGCAAGGTGAGTATGATAACTATAGGAGCTGATTTGGTTCTTGAGGATGTAAAATCTTCTTGGTGGCTGTGCCAGCAGACACAGCTGAGAAGCATGCCCATGCTCTGATTCCACATGCCCTGCTGCTCACAGACTCTGGAGAGGCAAAGCCAGACCTACATTTCTTGATTTTATTGTATGCAAGGAGCAACTCCGTCAGCCACACATAAGAACATCATTGGGAGAGCCAGTAGTCATGTTCATTTAACAAATAAACCTGCTTCAGTGCACAGTGTGTGTGTGAAGATGCCTTTCACTTTCTGCATTTACTTTACAAAGTCATGTATCAGAAACTGAAGAAAAAAGCTGTATATGCCCCCCTGTTTCTAGTTTAGCTGGGGAAAGTAAGAGGAACATGCCTACTTGGCTAATCCTCCTCTAATAGAAACAAGATCTGAACCATGAGTGACTGCTCTTCAGACAACAGCAAGGTATTTGAGTCAAACTGACAAATATGACAAAGCATCATTCCT